TAATAATAATAATAATAATAATAATAATATAGCCTTAGCCCCTGGGACAGGTGTGAATCCTCCCCCGACAGACAGCACGCAGGGCATGTGAGTTCACACTCTGTCTTCCCCGTGACCCCAGCGCTGTGTTTTGCCCGCACAGGACATTGCTTATTACCAAGCCTTGTCTGCCGAGAGGTTGCAGACCGATGCTGCGAGGATCCAGCCCAGCACGCTGCCAGCCCAGGAGTTCTATGAGCCAGGGCTGGAGCCCTCGGCGACCGCTATGCTGGACAACCTGCAGCGTTCCTGGGAAACCTTAAAGAACGTGGTAAGTCACTGAAACGTGGACCGCTTTGAGCCCACCCGACACCGTGACCTTCGTGGTTGCCTTTTGCAATCCACACAGAGAGTTTACACAGGCCCTGCACCGCTGACCACCCTCTATTGGGCCACAGAGGGAAAGCAGTGAGGAAAGCAGTGTCATAACCTAGAAGATAAAGGGCGAGGAAGCGTTTGGTAATATCCCTTTTCTGCTTCAGATCAGTGAAAAGCAGCGCACGCTCTATGAGGCTCTGGAACGCCAGCAGCGGTACCAGGACTCCCTCCAGGCCATCTCCACGAAGATGGAGGCCATCGAGCTGAAACTCGGTGAGAATCTGGAGCCGGGCCGGAGTCCAGAGAGCCAGATGGCTGAGCATCAGGTAAAAATAGCAGTGACTTCAGTTTCCTGCCTGACTGCATAGGTGCGCGCTTGTGACTGGTCACCGGCCGAGCGTGTGTGGGGAGAGCAGACTGACATTTTTTCACTGTCTCAGCTCTCACCGAGTAAACAAGGTCCCACATGCTGGTGGTTTCCACTCCTGCTTCAGGGTGGGATCGAGGAGGGAAAGAAAGAAAGTCAGACCTCGAACCTAATGAAAGGATGCTGCATGCATTGATGTTGCTTTTTTATTTTTATTATACAAAGAGTAGTTACTTTTATTTTTTTTTTTAAATCTTTATCGTTGAAAGTATTGCATATGTCTCTTTGATGTTGCTTTTTTATTTTTATTATACAAAGCGTAGTTCCTTTTATTTTTTTAAAATCTTTACTGTTGAAAGTATTGCATATGTCTATTCCATGCTTGTATTTCCTTTATGTTGTTGTAAACTGTTGTAAGAATAGGACACCCTTCCATCTACCTTCTCTGGGTATTGCTGTTCTAAGAAACTTAACCATGTGCCCAGCGCCTCCCATTATCACTTAAGAGAATACCTCTCAGACTTCAATGGGCAAGGAAACAGCTGAAGAGTAAGGGCTTCTAAGTTATAATCTTGTGCTTGTTCTTGCCTTGAATTCTTTTTTAAAAGGTTACGTAAACTCGGCAAAGCTATAACATTCTATGAGAAAGAGACAATTATATCAACCTAACCCAGAAAGCTATTGTTTAAAATGCATCAATTTAAAATGCATGATAAGAAAGTGCATATGTTAAATTCTGGGTCACGCTTTAGCATTTTATCAGGTGCACTATTAATGCATGATCAGGTATAAAGGAGGTGCGAGGGGACGACGCTTACATTCACCTAAATATCACCATGATGTGGGGAAGTGCTGTCTGCCCCGACCAAAGCTCAGGGGCATGTGACAGCCCTATAGAAAGCAGAAGAAAAGGAAAATATCTTTAGATGCAAATTAAGAGCTAGAAAAGCATGACGTGCTATGTATATCTACCAAGTACACGTTTATCTTTCCCCTAATTTGCATTTGTGTAATTTCAGAACCTTGGAATATCTTGTTTGTTCATGTGTGCGGTCTAAGGTGAAATGGCATTCTTTTACAATATAGGAGCTTGCAGTATAACATGAAAATAAAGGCATTTTATCTAGAGACAGCATACTGAGAATATGGCTTCAGGTTTTTGACACTTTTGTGACTGTAAGATAGAGATCGAAGTGCCTATCATCCATTTGAGGCCTTATTTTGGGTCTTTCTGTTTCCCAAAGTCACCCCTAGTCAGTCTGGTTTGGGGAGGGTGCCATACATAAATATATAAAATTAAAATTAACCTCTGTTTACCTAAACCAAACCAATCATGAGGATAGTCAGGGACTTCGGTGACTATTACAATGTGGTTTTCCCTGAGCTCCACAGTCCTCTTTAACTGATGCCCCAGTTTTCTGATTGTCAGGGCCACCTTGTTGTCATCTGAAGGGGTTTTTCACACAGCCTGAGTGTGCCCCTGGGGCTTTGTCTACAGTGTTGCAACCCCCACCCCATCACCGATGCTTCCTGTCCCTGGAGGGGACCTCTCTCCATTCCAGCACAGCTCCCTTTGAGCTTCCAAAGGAATTTGGCATAAATTATCCCAAGGTTCTTTCTGATTGTCAGGGCCACCTTGTTGTCATCTGAAGGGGTTTTTCACACAGCCTGAGTGTGCCCCTGGGGCTTTGTCTACAGTGTTGCAACCCCCACCCCATCACCGATGCTTCCTGTCCCTGGAGGGGACCTCTCTCCATTCCAGCACAGCTCCCTTTGAGCTTCCAAAGGAATTTGGCATAAATTATCCCAAGGCTGCCCTAGACAGTTTGGCTTAGGAGATAGAGCATCGGCCTGTGGCCTGAAGGGTCCCGGGTTCTGATTCTAGTCAAGGGCATATACCTGGGTTGCAGGTCCAATCCCTGGCCCTGGTCCGGGGCATGTGCAGGAGGCAACCAATGATGTGTCTCTTTCACATCGATGTTTCTCTCTCTCTCTCTCTGTCTCTCCCCCTCCCTCCCACTGTCTCTAAAAATCAATGGAAAAATATCCTCAGGTGAGGATTAAAAACAAAACAAAACAAAACAAAACTCTAATAAATTACCTGAAGGCTGGAATAGAGTGAATTTGAGTGTCA